TCGCCACGGGTGGATCAGCGAGGTTGTCCCCTTCGATTGCCACGGGTGGAACGGCGACGTTGTCCCCTTCGATTGCCACGGGTGGATCTTCAACGCGTATCGGGGTATCGTCATCCGTACCTCCAGCTTCATCGGCACGCTCTGAGGGGAAGCGTGACCTCGAGGCTCGGGCTGCCGTCTCCGCTGATCCCCTTCGTCCTCCTCGTCCTCCTCCTCCTCCGCCACCGCGTCCACAGTACAGCTTTAAAGACCTGGTCCGCCTGGTGACCCGATAGGCCCGAACTTTTTGTTCTGAATGTCGGCCTCTGAGAGGTCTCGGGTTTTTTCAGGATCTGCTAATTCGTGTCCGAGCTCTGAAGCTGTGGTCGAGCGAGGTTCACTTGGGGCTCCCGCCGTGGGGCCGTCCTAGTCGACGTCTTCTGATGCGCACGGTAGGTCGCAATCGTCTGAGTAAGTTCAGATTGATGTTTTAAGTCGAGTTTTATCGACCTTCGGCCCGACACCGTTTCGCCGCCGCCGCCGCCTCCTCCTCCTCCTCATCATCATCATCATCATCATCATCATCATCATCATCATCATCATCATCATCATCCTCATCCTCATCCTCATCCTCATCCTCATCCTCATCCTCCTCCGCCTCCTCCCCACCTCTGGGCCCGCTCCGGAGGTCCTGCATCCAACAGCGCGGCCAATCCTCTCGGAGGCGCGACCTCTTCTGCTTCCGCCCGCAGCTTCCGCTGGCCACTCCGCCCGCAGAGCATCAGGCAAGGAGGTCTATAGATGTCCACTGCATCAGGCAGCGTGCAGTGGAGGCCAGTCCAGGAGAAATCTTCCACAAGAAACCCAACCCTGACACCCCAGGACGTCCATTGATTTTTGGTGTGGGAACGTCACGCTTTCCATCGCAAAACCATCAAGACCCACGAACAAGAAACCTAGGGCACCTTGGAGGCAAGCAGGGTGTTTCTTGGCATGGGTCCCCACTGTATGCATACGGCCAGGATGCGGGCCCAGCGAGACGCTACGCCTTGCGAGCGGATAACCTGTTGCTCCGCTCCGCGTGGCGGGAGGCTCGGGGAAGCTCGGGACGTTGCCGCCTGGGGGCCGCGGCGTGGACAGCGTGCCGCGCCGAAGCGTGGTGAGCCAGAACCGGTAAAGCGACACGGCAGCCCCAAGTTCCCGACCGTAGCCCCCGTCGCCCTACAGGACAGCCCTCGTCGCGCTGCCACCAGCATCTGCCGAGGGCGAGGTGCTAACCCCTGGACCCCTGGCAGGCAGGGGCCTGCCTGGGGCGCCCCAGGCAGCCTCGGGGGAGGAGGTGCTCTGGCAGGGGCGAGCTCCCGGCTCGGACAGCACGAGGGGGGGGTAGCAAAAGGGGCGGGCGCAGCGAATCAGCTCACGTTTGCGCTGGAGGCGCCAATGTATCCAGGAGAGCGGGCAACAACAAAACACGTCCGTCGCGTCTGCCTCCACGACGCGACGAGATCAGGGTGCGGGCGGGGCCGACCAGTGCCTCGGCGCTGCCTCGGGCTCCAGGGCCCCGTAAACGAGCACCCTTTGATAATAGGCCACACACTGGCGAGCCCGAGATAGCTGCGGCTGTGGGTCGAAACGTCCTCCATTACGTATTCATTCCCTCCCGCCACACTTGGCGAGGCCATGCTTTCCAAGGTCCTGGTTGCTGGGGCCCTGGGGGCTTTCGAGCGGGGGCTCTCCAGAGGGGCCTTGGCGATCCGTGAGAGGGCTCCTGGATGAGGTCAAGCAGATGCGGTCGGAGGATCGCGCCGCATCGCCGATGCACCAGCGCCGTCGGCGTATAGAAAATTGGGCCCCACATCGAGCCGCATCGGAGATGCTGCGCGATCCTCAGACCCCATCTGCTCGAACCCCATCCAGGATTGGAGGCAGCCAAGAGGTCTGAGCTGGATAGGTCTGCAAAAAAACGACTGAAGACGAAGGGATAAGGGCATATCCGCTCAAAATCAGCTCCGTACTCCTACCTCCTAACTCTTCCTCATCCCTCCTCCCTCCTCCTTCCTCCCCCTCCCTCCTCCCCATTCTCCCCCTCCCTCCTCCCCATTCTCCCCCTCCTCCTCCTCATCCTCCTCCTCCTCCTCCTCCTCCCTCTCCTCCTCCTCCTCCTCCGCCGCCGCCTCCTCCTCTGGCATCCTTTTTCCCCTCCTCCATCCCCCTCCCTTGTGAAGAACTCCTCCTGTCGCACCCCGAGGCCAGTGGGAAGGGCGGCCAGGGCGTTTCGCCTGAGACTTCCTTACCACTCACGATCCCGAAGCTTACAAGTTGGCAAAAGTTTTGCAAATAGAGAGCGGGCCGCTTCCAACATGTGGCTCTCGCCTTGGCGCCGCGCACATTCATTTTCAACATATGCAGGAGCTTCAAGGACTGAGGGCGGGTGGTTTTCAAAATGTGGCTCTCGCCTCAGCGTCGCGCACATTCGTCTTAAAGACTTGCCAGAGTTTCACGGATGGGGGACGGCTCCTTTTCGCAATGTGGCTCTCGCTTAAGCGCCGCGCACACTCGTCTTACAAACTTGCAAGGCTTTCGCGAAATCTCGTTGTGAGCGTGCCAGAAACAGCGCGTGGGAGCAATTCAGGATTGCTAGATCGCAACAGTTATGTTGATTCGCGGTGCCGAAATCCCAGGATTAGCGTTCTGCCGCTGCTCAGGATCGCCAACACGCAGCAGTCAAGCTGATTCGTGGCGTTGGAGTCCCGAGAATGGTGCTTGTGCGCACGCCTCAGGATCTACAAACGGTTGCCTCCCGACAGGGCACGTCCAGCAGTGGAAATTAACCCTTGCAGGCGCCTGCGAAGAGGGAGCTTAGAGGGAGGGTTGATTGCAACGTCGTTGATAAGTCTTGGCTTTACCATGGTCGTCCTCCACCTCCTTCTCCTCCTCCTCCTTCTCCTCCTCCTCCTCCTCATCATCATCCTCTTCCTCGTCCTCCTCCTCCTCCTCCTCCGCCTCCTCGTCCTCCTCCTCCTGCCTCCTCCTCCTCCTCCTCCTCCTCCTCCTCCTCCTCCTCCTCCTGCTCCGCCTCCTTCTCCTTCTCCCCCTCCTCCTCCATCCCTTGCCTTCCGGCCGATGGGGAGGTGGCGGCCTCCTCTGGCTCTCCCGCCTCCTCGGCGCCGTCCTTCTCCTCCAGGGCGCTGTCCCCCAGGACCGCCGGGCGCTCCCAGGACGCAACCTTCGCCTCGGGGGGGGCGAGAGGGGGGAAGGGGGCGAAGGGGAAGGAGGTGTGTGCGACAAGGGGCATGGCGCTCGAAGGGGGGGAAGGAGGGGGGAAGAGGGAGGGAGACACGGAGGGAGGGAGGGAAGGGAGGGAGGGAGGGAGGGAGGACGGGGAGTCGGGGAGGGGGAGGGGATCTGGGAGGAAGGAGAGGGGGGAGGGAAGGCTAGGAACGGGAGCGGTTGAGAAAGGGAAGGGGGGAGCTAGGGAAGGGCAGGGGAGGGGAGGGAGAGACCCTGACCTCCTCGCGCCGCGAAAGAAGCACGACGGCAGGTGTTTTGCCTTTCTCGGCCTCCGGGAGCCCTCACGGCGGCCCTGGCCGTCAAAAACGACTCACGATGAGAAGCGGGTCCCAGGGAGATGGTCCAGACCCTGAGATCCGACGTAGCGGAAAAATTGCAACGTCGTAAAGAATCACGCCCAGAGCCTTGGACACCATCTTTCTGCGTCATTCTTCGAGCCATTTCGATGTGTGAGGGTCCCGGGGCCCGAGAAAAGGCGAAAACGCCCGGCCCGAAAAGACTCTCAAAAATTCGCACGCCAGAATCCCAGGGGAGTCCAGACCTCCAGGGGCCCACGGGGTCCAGGAAACGACGCTGGAGAGGAGGGACGGCGAGCAGCGATCGGACCCAGAACTCCGACGTTGACGTCGACGTCGTCGTCGTCGTCGTCGTCGTCGTCGTCGTCGTCGTCGTCGTCGTCGTCGTCGTCGTCGTCGTCGTTGTAAATGTCGTCGTCGTCGTGGTCGTGGTCGTGGTCGTGGTCGTGGTCGTCGTCATCGCCATCGCCGTCGTCGTCGTCGTCGTGATTTGCTTCACAGCGTGGACCGCCTGAGGTCTGGCTTCCCCTCCTCTAGGACCGGATGCTATCGCTTGACGGTCCCGGGGCCCGACAGCACACGAACCCTGCTGCAACAAACATTTGAACAACAACAAAACACGAGTAGGTGCCTCCCCCCAAAAACACCCCCCCCCCCCCCCCCAAAAAAAAACAGAGTCCCAACAACACCGAAAAACACCACAGCCAGAACCCCGAACGCCAAACAACTAGCAAAAACGCCACAGCCGAGGCCAAGCGACGACAACAAGAGAGCACCGAACGGAGAACCAGCAGGACCAGAGCAGGCCAGCCCCGACGGAGGCGCGCCCCAGGGATGGGGCCCTCACCAGGCCCTCTGCCTCGGGCCCCGGGCCCTGAACCCTGGGCCCTGGGCCGGGCCTGGGCACGGCAACATAAGGAAACGAAGCCGTCCATCCCCCGCCCCTCCCCTGTCGTTGCCCTTTTTGGTGTTCGGGTCATGGCTCGGTTCTCCGGCGGCCGTTCGGGACGGTCCGCCCCCCCCCACCCTGGGACGCCCTCGGCGTGGCGCAGCTGCTGGAACGCACCCCGAGGCTGGAGAACCGCCAAGACCTGGCGAAAACGCCCGAAAACATCGAGCCTCGATCCCCCCCTATCGCTGCGCTGCCCCTGACCAGGGGTCAAGCATCGGCCCCTGGAGCTCTCTTGGGGTGCGCTCTGACTGGAACTTCTTGGCCGCGAGGGCGCCCCAGGACGATCAGAAACCTCCAGAAAGCGAACCTCGACCCTCGTACGCGAACGAAGACCTCGAACTCCTCGAGTCCAAACCTGGCGCAGCGCTCCCCAGCCTCGGCGTGCCAGTAATAGTGGCAGCGGCGCTCGTCCGACCACAGCTGCTCCCAGCCGGGCAGGAGCTCGCCCTCGCCGTCCCCTGCGTCCTCGGGAGGCGGCTGCTTCTCAGACATCCTTGCCCTCCTCCTCCTCCTCCGCCTCCTCCTCTTCCTCCTCCTCCTCTTCCGCCAGACCGATCAGGCGTCAGGTTTCCGCAGGGTCTGCTGCAGGCACCTCCATAGCGCTGTCGGGCCGCCAGTCAGCTCAAACCGAACTCTGGCGCCGAGTGGGAGGTCCCCGGATCCCTGCCCCTCGGTCCCTGCGCCCGTCCCTCCCCCCCGCCCTCCTCCCCCCCCCCCGTCCTCCCGTCCGAGCCGTAACGTGGGACACGCTCGGGCAGCGTCCTGCGCCGGGGTGCAATGGGGGGGTAATGCGCGTGTGCGTCGGGAGGAGGTCTGGGCGGAGTGTCGGCGGGACTGCGGGCCCAAGCTCGGCAGCTTGCGGGGCGCCCTGAGGCCTGATCCCCCCCCGCCCCTCCTCCCCCCCCCCATGCTGGTGCCGATGCCGCTGCCTGCAGCCAGATCGACCAGCCGAGCCCGGAACCCTGCTTCGCCGAATGCGACACCGTCCAGATCCAGCCCTAAGGATGGCATCTTGAGGCGCTGGAGATGGTCCGGAGGCCAAGCGCCCGAGGTGCTCGACTGGCGAGCAGGGCGGCACCGAGAAGTCAGCAATCTCGCTGGAGGCTGGCAGCACTGGATGGCACACTGGCCTACGTAGCCATCTCGACAGCCGCGGGATGGGAAGACAAACAGAACCCAGCAGGCCAATGCAAGAAAACGATGCACGAGAAGCACGTCAGGGAGCAGTGTTCCCTACTGGACGCTGCGGGCCAGCAAGCACGGATCGCGGCAGCAACCACCGGAGACCTGCCCCCAGGGTAAAACAGACACTCGCCCTCCAGGAGGGTGTGCGCGGCGCGGGACCAGCGGCCGAGCCCGAGCGTCAGAACAACCTGGTCGCCCACGGCGCTGGCCGTGGACACCCAGGCGCAAAAGGGTGCAGCCTGAACAACGCGTACTGCGCCCAGTGCTGGGACACCTGGTGGAAGCAGGCGCAGCCGCCCCAGCGGCCTGAAGCAGCCCCCGACGACCACCAGGAGCAGCCGCCCCAGCAGCCTGAAGCGGGCCAAGAGCGGGCGGCCCCACCACCCGAGAAGGCCGCGGCCCCCGAGCTGGCGGGCGGGCTGGCCGCGGCCGCATGCCCCGCCGCCCGCGGAGCCAGCGGGCCCGCGCTCGCACACAGCTGCCCTGCCCCCCGGCACCGACAAGCCCTGCGACGCTCCACGCCCCGGGGGGTCCCGACCCCACCGGGGCCTCCAGCCCGGGCGAGACATCGCAGCGGGGGGGCTCTGTGGAGCCGGAGGCGCCCAGCTCGAGAAAGGGTACTGCGCGGGATGTTGGAGCCGCCAGTCCAAGGCCCTGGCTCAGGAAGCAGACGCCTCCAGCAACGACGGGCCATGGCTTGAACGGCCCCGATCGATCACCGCCAACAAAGGGGTGAAAAAAAAACAATTCAGAAATAAAAAACAAACATCAGATATTCAGAAATGGAAAAATACAAACATCAGAAATTCAGAAATTAAAAAACACAAGCATCAGAAATTCAGAAATTAAACCATATAATTTAGAAATACCGAGGCACAGCGACACAGGCTTCAAACATAACAACAACGAACGCACACGCGACAAAGAGAACCATGCGTGCACGATCCCGCTGAGCAAAAACCAACTGCAACATACGTCGGCCGCGGTGCAGCCAGGGCGACTCCACCAAAACAGGCGCCAAATCAAAAAGGCATCGGCCTTGTCGCTGGCCAGACCTACGGTGGGCGAGACGAACTTGCACATGGTGCGAGTGGCCACTGAAGATCATGCATTTGGTATTCAACTGCGCCCCGCGCGCAAAAAAAAAAACTCTTCCCGCTTTAAGAATCCCAGTGTCCCGGCAACAAGCGTCGCAGCAAACGCCATGAGAGCGCTTTCGGCTACACCTAGTTACACCTAGTTACACCTAGTTACACCTAGTTACACCCAGTTACACCTAGTTACACCTAGTTACACCCAGTTACACCTAGTTACACCTAGTTACACCTAGTTACACCCAGTTACACCTAGTTACACCTAGATACACCTAGTTACACCTAGTTACCCTCAGTTTCCCTCAGCTACCCGAGTTAAGGCATGACGCAGTCAGTCTGAATCGGAGTGCAGGCATTCGAACCTGGAACCTCGGTCCTCGATCCTCGCCTCCAGGTCGGGTTCGTCCTGCCAACTCATCTTCGTCATCATCGTCACCATCACCCGCGTCCTCCTCCTCCTCCTCCTCCTACTCCTGTTCCTCCATTTCCTGCTCCTCCGCCTCCTCGTGGAAAACCTTAAAAAGGAAATGTTGTACCTATACGACCACCCTTCGGGTGATAAGGAGGTGAGGGGGGGGGAGGGACCAACGTCGCACTCGATCGATCTCACTCTCGATATCACTATCGATCTCACGTTCGGTCTCACTATCGATCTCACTATCGCTCTCCCATTCGGTCTCACTATCGACTTCACTATCGATATCACAATCGATCTCACATTCGGTCTCACTATCGATCTCACTATCGATCTCACTATCGATCTCACATTCGGTCTCACTATCGATCTCACTATCGATATCACAATCGATCTCACAATCGATCTCACATTCGGTCTCACAATCGATCTCACTATCGATCTCCCATTCGGTCTCACTATCGATTTCACTATCGATATCACAATCGATCTCACATTCGGTCTCACTATCGATCTCACTATAGATCTCACAATCGATCTCAAAATCGGTCTCACCATCGATCTCACTATCGATATCACAATCGATCTCACAATCGATCTCACATTCGGTCTCACTATCGATCGCACTATCGATCTCACAATCGATCTCACAATCAATCTCACATTCGGTCTCCCTATCGATTTGACTATCGACATCACAATCGATATCACAATCGATCCCACATTCGGTCTCACTATCGATCTCACTATCGATATCACTATCGATCTCATTCGATCGATCTCACAATCGATCTGACGATCGATCTCACTATCGATCTCACTATGGATCTCACTATCGATTTCCGATTCGGTCTCACTATCGATCTCACTATCGATCCCGCAATCGATCTCACAATCAATCTCACATTCGGTTTCACAGTCGATCTCACAATCGATCTCACAATCGATCTCACAATCGATCTCACATTCGGTCTCACATTCGGTCTCACTGCCGATCACAATCGATCTCGCAATCGACGTCATCATCATCATCATCATCATCATCATCAACATCACATCAACATCATCATCATCATCATCATCATCATCGCCATCATCAACATCATCATCATCATTACCATCATCATCATCACCATCATCATCATATCATCATCATCATCATCATCATCATCATCATCATCATCATCATCATCATCATCATCATCATCATCATCATCATCATCATCATCATGATCGGGACACCGACGGGACACCGACGGGACACCGGCGGGACACCGGCGGGACACCGCGCGCCACCGGCCGCCCGGTGGAGAATCATTTGGTCCGGCCGCGCCTCAGCCATAGAGGACACCACCGGGACAGCGGCGGGACACCGCGCGCCACCGGCCGCCCGGTGGAGTATCATTTGGTCCGGCCGCGCCTCAGCCACAGGAGACTTTCCTCTCGCCCGCCCACGCAGCGTCGCCTCGCCCGCACGCACGGCACGCACGAACACGAAACCGAAATCGATTTCCCGGTAGGGGGGCTCTCCGTTCCACTTCGATCTCACCCTCTCACCTCCGATGAACGTTGCTTGTTATATAGAGTTTCCCTTGTCATCGTCATCGTCATCGTCGTCAACAGCATTGTCGTAATCGTCAACAACACCATCACCATCATCTTGACCGTCACCGTGGTCGTCGTCAACATCGTCGTCGGCATTGTCATCATCATCATCACCATCATCGCAATCATCACCATCAGCACCGCCGTCGGTATCATCGCCATCATCGTCATCGTCATCATTGTCATCACCATCGTCGCCGTCGTCGTCATCACCATCGTCATAGTCATCGTCATCAGCGTCGCCGTCATCATCATCAACATCGTCATCATCGTCATCATCATTATCGTTATCGTCAACGTCGGTATCGTCCCCATCGTCGCAATCGTCATCATCGTCATCATCGCCATCATGAACATCATCGTCGCCATCGCCGTCGTCTTCGTCGTCCTGCCAACTCGTCATGAAGGACAGGTCATGGGAGAGGGGGGGAATGAAGGATAGGGAACGCGCGAAGCACCAACCAATCGATGTCTCGAGTGTCGGCCTGCTGGCAGCCGAGCGTACGCAAATTCACGCAACCTGCCAGGCCCGAAACAAAAACCCTGGACTGTGGAAGCGACGCGCATGCGTGTAGCACGGAATCGGTGCACAGGAATGCCCATTTGCAGGAACCGCCACAAGAGGAGGAAAGGAATGGGGAGGGGGAGGAAAGACGAGGGGGAGGAGGGGGGGAGGGGGACGAACACAAATGCTGGCAAGTATTAGGCTGCGTGCCTGACTTTACCCAGTCCGGCACAAATCAAGCAGCCGCAAAAGAGGGGAAGGAGGAGAAGGGGAAGGGGGGACATACATACAAATTGCGCTGAGAATGCAATCCATCCGCCCCCGGCCAGGAAGGACACAGCATGCTTAAGACAGCGAAGGTGAAAATATGGCCGAGCCAAGATCGCAGGCGGCCGCCCCCCGAATCGACCGCCCCTGGTTTCATTCTTCAAGACAACCTAAACTGCGCCCGTGTCATTGAAACGCTGGCCCCTACCAGCGCCCAATCGAAGTGATGGAGATCCTGTCCGGCTGCCTTCAGAGGAACGAGTCCCGGTTTAGCTTCAGAGCCTCGAGCACCTTGGGCGGACGTCGACGCATAATCGAAAGCCATATCGACCGCGGAAGGCGGGCCCGGGAGGGCGAGGGGGAAGTTCAACACAAAACGGTTGATTTGCAAAGGATTCCGCCTTCCTGGCC